TCCAGTACAGCTGCTGTTACCAAAAGCATCTTATACCAATGGCTACAGAACTCAGCTCCTTTCCCTTGGGAGAAATTTATACCCTGGAGAGAGCTAAGCAAGGTCATCACCTCTGTTACTTCAGAAAGGTTATTTTCACGTGTAAAGGCTGCATTTACACTTGCATGTAAAACATGTCCTGGCCTCCAGTTACTATCACTTAAGTCCTAAAGCTCAAAAGACTTATGCTTAATAAAAGAAACAGAAAAGCAGTTTCTAACCCTGAGAGTTTATTCTTCCTCTTTCTTCATAAGAAAACACAGAGTCTGGGTAAAATTCCAAGTAGAAGAAATAAGATTCAAGAGGACACTTCTCACACTTATGACTGTGTTTCCCACAAGAAATAAAAAACAAAAATCCCAAACAAAATAACAAAATAAACTAAAGAACCCCCATAACACAACAACAAATACCCCACCCAAGCCACATTCATTCTATTTTAGCTCTCCTGCTAACTCCTTCAGGTTTCATGCAGGATCAAATTCAAAGAATTTGAAGGCACTGCCTCCACAAAACAAACTAAAAAACAGCTTTAAGAGGCCACTTTGGAATCTGTAGGAATTAAATCCTTCATAGCACCTGGAGCATCCTGGTGACATAGAGAGCAAGTTCAATTACCCACTAGCCCAGAGTTATAGTGCAACAGCAGAACTTGAGAGACAGCTGCTGGGAGACTTGTTTTTGGGCAGTCTGTTGCCTGCTATTCCAATCTTTAAACTTAGAATCAAATTTTTTTTATACAAATTTTCAGGTTTTTTTTCCTTTACCCTCTGCTGGCAAGTGGGTGAGGGTTAAAAAAACAGACAAAGAATGCAAACAGAAAATCAACAGACTTTGCCTAGTGTAATCTGTTTTTTTCATTTCATATCATCTGATATAAGGTGAAGCAAGAGGGAGCATTCTTTTAAGCAGCTATAAAGAAAAAAAAGATTGATCAAAAAGTAATTTTTCTTATGGAAAAGAGACCCAGGTGTCTGTTTTTCTTATATTTTCTTTTTAATGGCTGTTCCCTTTTCAGCCTGTAAGATTCAAGGTCAGCTCCAGGTCAAATTGCTGAGCCTGAGATACTCAGCAACTTCCAATCCAGCTATGGGATTTCTCTCCCCCCTGTATTGCACTGGGTTTTCCATTCTGGCATCCCATCCTGGAAAACCCTATTAGAGGCTAGGAATTTTCATTTCTGCTTTTAGATGGCATGGTGGATGCCACACTGGCAAATCAACAAATGACATAACAGAAGATACTAAATCAATGAGTGAAATGCATGTCTTGGTACATCTAGACATGTTTAACCTTGAACTTCCTGACTGCTGGCAAAAGTCAGAGCATACAGGATAAACTGAAACATAGGAGTGTGTCCTACAGCTTTCTGTGTGTGTGAATAGTGAGGGACAGCTGCTTTCATCCCACAAAGAAAATAAAATCTAGGAAACACAGGGAAAAAAATAAGACTCTGGGAATATTGGGGGCTAAAAATACCCCTATTGCCAGATCTTGGATAAAACCCAAGCCTTTTGAAAGGTGCCTTTTGGCCAGTGTTTGTAGGGTAAGGGCTTGCACAGATTTTACACACATTAGTCCAGTGTTACCTGACATCTGTAAGAGTTAATTTGCCTTTACAGTCAGGTATGGAAGAGAAAACAGCACATATTTTCTTAAATGAAAATACTGTGGGGGAGAAAAATGAGGAAAAATATCAAAGAAAGGAAAATAATCTAAACCCACAACTTCAGAAAAGCCCCTCAGAAATCTGAACAGCCCAAGAGAGATGAGTTCAGGCTGTGAGATGAATTTGCACTTCTTTGTGCTCACTACAAAGGCCCTCCAGGAGCAGCAGTGATTCCAATTGGTTAAAAAATGGTCTGTAAGAGCAAAGTGAAAACAAATCTTCTTAATCTTGGGCCTTACTCCTACTTATTCATCCCTAAAAGTGGTACTGACATCGATGCTCATGGTGACCATCACCATCTAAGGAGAGCACCACCCTACCTTTGGATGTGAAAGGTACTCATGTGAATATTCTGAATATACTCTCGGATGACTGGGCCTCCATTTCCAGCCCTGAGCTCCACCACAAGCAGTTAAGAACCACCAGGAAAACTTCCTAAAAAGGCTAACCATTGTACTAACCCTTCAAAGATCAAAACAGAAACAAAAGGCTCTTAATCCATCTTTTTATGAAGAGGCCCTCCAGGGTTTTGTCTGCCTTTTAAGGAACTGAACTGCAGCTCGGCAGCTGCAGCACGTGTGAAATATTACAGCATTTGTTTGTAACTGCTGGATGAGGTGCCTGATGATTCTAGGGAGGTCTGGCTACTGCTGCAAGCACTCCACAGTTGGAAGGTGACAGAAATGTGCATCCAGGTTTAAAATACTTGCACATTTGCAGGAATGAAGGGCATTTGTATCCAAAATTCACTTTTCAGTGGATTCTTCATAGAATATGAAGAAGCATGACAGAGAAACAATTTTGAGCAGAGAGATGACAAGCTTTTTTTTTCCCCACAGGAACATAAAACCCTTACTTATTCATAATACGTGGGTAAAGTGGAGGACGAAGGATGAAAACACAGGAATGAGCATCTCCTGATGTATTAAAGCTAGAAAACTTGCTTCTCAGGAACCTTGACTAGTCAAAAAAACCCAAAACAATGGGGGCTGTAATAGGTAGCTTCAGTCAGGCCCCAGGAAGCTCCTGTTTGGAATATACGCTAAAAATCCTCAGCAGAGACAAGGCCAAAGAGGGCAGGAAGGAAACTGGCCAGCTCAAAGACAGCTAGAAAAAATGATCTTCATCTTCAGGCTTTAAAGAAGACAAGGACTGAACTGAACAAAACCAAAAATCAACAGGAAAAAGTAAGAAATAAAAAAAATATAAAGCTTTTAGCTCATTCTCTATTCCCCTATGGAATGGTTCTCCAAGCTTGGGCAGTCACAGTTCTGGTCTTCCATCCACGAGATGCTGCTTGCTCCTGGGGAATCTCTGGGATCAGTTTCCAGATCTTAATACTCCAGGTGGTAAGCATCATCAAATGTTCAAGAAGAAATCTCTCCACCAAGAAAAAAAAACAATCCTGACACGTTCCATATGCACTGAGCTGGCATCTGGATATAAAATCTGCAACACCTAACTATGCCAAAAAGCTTCCTGAGACTCCAGAAATAAAATTCCTAAGTGTGCCCTCAACTTGAATGCCAGAGGAATCTTTTTTATCCCTTCTTTTGATCCTCCCACACTAAAGTTTCCAAAGATGGAGCAAGCACCCAATTTCACATTTGGCAGCGCTGGAAACAATGCTGCAACAGCCTTGAAATGTTTGACATTTCTGCTTGTCTGGATGCTAATTCTGCACACGAGGCAGCTCTGCCTGCACGGGGCAGGGCTCAGTGCAGAGTCCAGTGCCTGTGGATCCACAGGAGGATCCGTAAGTGCAGCCACAGCAAGTTTCTCCTGTGCTTCTCCAAAACTGATACCTTGATATCGCCTTGTTATTTTTCTTATATTTCCTGCTTTTTTGTTGTTGTTTTTTTGGGTGTGGGGGGTTCTTTGTTGTTTTTTTCTCTTACAAAGCACAAAGTTTCTGTGAGACAATCAGAGCGTGACTTCTCTCTAGCTGTTTCATCATGCTGAGCGTGCCACACGCTTTTACACATCTTTTTTTTTCCTTTTTTTTTGATTATTTCCCTTTTGAATAAACTCTCCCTTATCAAAATAAAATAACATCATTTACAAAGCACCACCTCAGCAGCATGCCTCAGCTTTCATTTCACAGGGCTATGCCAGCAGCCACAAACAGAATCAAAGCAGCCAATTAAAAATCCATATTCATTAACAAACATCATGTGTGCTATAATGCCCTGCATTGACTGTGGCACGGCAGGAGATGGGAAACTCGCTGAGTTTTCCTGCTCTCAGTCTGAAGCATTGTTTTATTAGAGGAAGGGTTTTACCTTTGCTCCTCCAGGCCAGCAAGGAGAGCGTCCTGCAAGCCCACGGGGCTGGGGCAGCAGAAGGGGCAGCTGCTGACCTTTTGCCTCAGAGAGATGCCAGGCACAGCACCTTGCCAGGATGAGGAGCACTCAGAGAAGACCGTGAACACGTGCCAGACCCTCCCCACCGAGGTCTTTGGGTACCAACAGGGCCAATGGCAGCCGCGTCTGCGGCACCGTGAGCAGACAACGCAATAAACTCTGCATATGCTTGATTGATGCAACTCATCGGCTCAGCAGGGCCAGGTCCAAGCTGCTGCAGTGAATTACCAAATTGCCCTGGCTCCAGGGGAGCTGCTTTGATTTACACCATCAACACTTTACTGCTGCAGACAGTCACATGCGTAAGTACGATATTTCAGACCTATACAATGAAATTATATGAAGGCGTGCCAGGGTTATTTATTTATTTGTACCCACAAGCCTGAGATTTACAACTCTTTATAAATACAAGCTGGGCAATTTGCTTTCTATTTTTAGCAGGAATGCTTTGTGCAGGAAACAGCTGTCAGCCACTGGGAGCTGTGTTCCTCAGAGCAGCAGCTTCAGACAAAGAGAGGCCTCTTAGAATTCAGCTGGAACTAGGGTCACCGCTTTGTGATGGAAAAGAAGCTGGAGATGGTACACAGCAAGAAAAAAATAAGCAGTTAACAGAATAAACTCCAGCAAAATGGGCTGGAAAAGCTCTAAGGAAAGGACCTTTACACAAATCTATTGTATATGAGTGTGACTGTCTCATTCTTCCCAAATAGCTTCAGAGCCCAGTTCTGCCCAAGTTCAGCAAACATTCACAAGTCTTGGAGACAATCTACTCCTGCAGCCTCAAGGTTTCAGATGAGACATTCTCCTGATACCCTCGCTGTGGAAAAACCTGTCACCCTTTCAGAGCCAAAGCTATCCACACCAAAGACATGCACCATCAGCAGGAAATCAGATGCCAGCAGACCTGCCCCCTCGGTGCAGACGCTCACCTTGGCAGACGAAGGAAGAGGGCGTTTCCCCAGGATGGACCCGGGCAGTGATGAACACCACTTTCTGTTCAGCCCCTGGACGCAGGTTTGCTGCAGCAGAAAAGGGCAGGGGACAGAGGGGGGAAAGAGAGAAATGGAGATCATTAAACTGTGCCCCAGATGCAGAAGCAAACAACTGTTCATTTTGAAAGCATATCCTTTTATTAAAATCGGCCGCGCGTTATAAACAAGCACAACCCCTGAGCAGAGAGGCAGCGTCACCAGATCTCCTTCCCAGACTGCACAAGGGCTGCAGGACTCATGCCATGCAGCCAAACCTGCAACAACAAATTTAGCTCTCTTTTCAAACCCTGGGATTTACTGCAGCGAGTTTAACTGCACTGTAATTGTGCTCTCACTCGTGATAAATGTCCCCCTGGGCCACAGGAGTAGCAGTGGGGCTCCAGCCAAGGTAAAGCCAATTGCACCCTGCATTACACTTGGTACAAGCCTTGACAGTGCCAGGCAATGGCAAAGTCCTACAAATTATATTTATTAGGCTTTGCTCTGGAGGATTTAGAAGTGATTTTTTTTTTTTTTTAAATCTCTTAAGTGTTTGGGACTGCATCTGCTCTAAGTGAAAAAGAAAAGTTTTAAAACAAAAAAGTATAGAAAAGAGGCCAAGATTAAATCCAGGAACCTTGTCCCGTGAAGGCATGAAAATGTGCCATTTCCCCTTCAAATTACAGATAGGTGGGAGGCAGATTTAGATTCCAACTATGCTGAATTTAGCATGGGTTAATCCCTCAGTTTTGAAACCACACCACTTTGGCCACCTGCTCCAGCCATAAACTACATGGGTCAACCAGAATCCTTTCTTTGTTTGTGCTGTGACTGCATTTAATAAACAGTAAATGAAAATTATGCTCTTTCAAAATGGGTTCTGGGAATTTTAAAGACTGTAAGAGGTCAGGACCTCAGTTAGATGTCTTATCTCAACCTGAACACACACAGCAGGGGTAATGCTAAACACGGCAGGCTCCAATTGCTAGGAGAGTTTAAATCTTTGTTTTGAAGTAAAAAGTTTACAGACTGGAAACAAAATCCAAGCTTTTTTTCTTTTTTTTTTTTTTCCTGTTTTATTTAGGTGGATGTATTGCACACATATCCAAAGCCAGACTTTTATTTTCAAAGATACGTGAGAGTCCTCAAGACCATGTCTTAGTTAATTTTTTTTAAATTTCCCAGATTCTTAGAAATGCTCCATTTTCCCCAAGGCAAATCACACCTTACAGAGCCATAGGAATAATCAATTCATTTTTTGCTGTTCTCAGGAAGCAATTGCAGCAGGTTTCTTCTTTTATTTTCTTAGCATCTCAAAGTCCTGCAGCTGCTCTCCCTATAACTCAGCCATTCGTTTGTTCTTTCTTACACCAGCTTCACCATTCTCTGATGTTTTTGAGATCCAGAGGCAAAGAAATATAAGAAAGTCTCTGCCAAACCCAGCAGCTGGTGGGGTCAATCCTCTTGGCAGAAGAAAATTGGGAGGCAGCGAAAAGGAGCACAACCCCATCAGCTAGAAGTCAATGACCATCCCACATCATTTGCATTAACATTAAGTAGTGTGGGAGGAAGGAGATAAATCAGCAAACCAACTTTAAAGAACAAAAGGAGAAGGCTGGGATCACTTTTGCAAGAGGAGATGAGTTTTTCTCCCCTCTTGGAAAACCAGCATTGCATTGGAGGGACTGTGGCTCAGCACAGATGTGATGCTCAGCAACGTGACTGCCCCTCTTTGGATCTGGAACAGCACTGGTTAGGAAACTTTTGGACAGAGGGTTGGTTTGGGGTGTTTTGTGGCTTTGGCTTTGTTTGCTTTCAACTACAAAATTGCTGTTATTTATGCTTCATAACATTTATTAGAATTGTTATTACAATCAATAATTTTCACTATGCAAGTCTATTTTAACTGGCAATAAATTAAAATCCCCACAAGTCAAGTCTGCTTTGCCCACAATGGCAATTAGTAAATAATATCCCTTTCTTTCTCTTGACCCATGAGCCTTTCCTTTTAATTTTCTCCCCCTGTCCTGGATAAGAGAGAGCAGCTGTGTGGGCATCTGGCTGCTAACCAAGGTTAACCTACTAAACAACTATAAAACACCATTTTGCTTTTTAATTTAAATGTTACATTAGAAATACATCCTATTTTCTACTTCAGGATTGAAAAGATCAATCAAAATTAAGAAGATTAGAAGTGTATAGCTTTGCTTAGTAGGTGCCAAAAGCACTTAAGCAAAATAACAGAGAGGCACATTCTATTTAGCCACAGCTTTGAGACTTGTGGAAATGCACAGAAATCTGTTGTACCACTTTTACCCTTCTGAACACCATAGCAGTGAATCTTAGAAACAAAACTCTTTGAGAAAAGAGTTTTTCTTGGAAAGAAAGGAAAGAAAAGTAGGCATGTCTAGAATGGTTCCTTTTTCATTTTCTGTTCTGGAAAGTATCTTGAAGATTGAAATGAACATTTTCTCTTCCCTTTGAAGGCTACCACTGTCATCATCATGGATAATATTTCCATTGACTTATGACTGAGACCTAAACAATCTGTCACTGTGTGTTACACCCTGGTGTCCTGCTACTCACCCCCTGCCATCCTGCCTCTGCTCAGAGGAGAATTCCCCTGAGCAAAGCTCTGAGCATCTGAGATCTATTCAGAACAACCATCACTAACCTCAGCATCTATTCTGGCTCTCCAGCAACCACACCACACAAATTTCACACTGAAAAGAAGCTCAATGAGCTGCAAGCAAGCAGCTCAGATCTCTTACTCTGAATATCCCTTGTGCTGTCTGGCCCACAACCCATGTTCCTTCCCCTCTAAAGCTTTGGCATGTTCAAGCCAATCACCCAAAACAACCCCACTGGCAGCACTCCCTCAGCTCTCACCCAGGAAACAGCAATTTCCACTCCTGCTTGCTTATTATGCTACTGCACCTAAAGCAGGGTTGCACAGAAAGCGTTTTCTACTTACAAAGAGAGAGTCAGATCAAATTCTAAACCTTCATGGGGAGGCAGGAAATTCAGTTAGCCATTTTCATTCAATTTTCATTTTTATGCTACTATAAAAACATGAAAATGAGAGTATTTGTATATAGCAGCTTAATGATAAGTATCTAGAAATTTCAAGCAGAAATAGTAAATTTCTGGAATTCCATTTGTACCACCAAGATGAAGTACTGTAACAGAGCTGAGGTAGAACATCACCCCTCAGCATCCAACATTTTCTGCCACCTTTTCAGACCAGAATCAGACTGCAGCTCTGTGGTTTCTTTAGGTCTTGCAGCCATGATAGCTAATGATTCAAGTTCACAAACTGGCACTGAGGATGAGAGGTCTGACTCCCAAAATCTGGTCCAGAAAGCCTTTAGGCTGCTGCCCATCAGGAGAACTCAGGAGTGAATTTCATTCCTTTACAGAAGACTTCCAAGTTGGGAAAGGTACTAGAAAAATACTGTCATCTCTGGAATACCATAAGGCTCTAATCCATAGGAATCCATCATCCTAAAAACATATGGCCAAATAACGATTTGATTTAAATACTCACATATATTTTAATAGAATGTTATCCATTGCAAACCAATTCCATATTGTCATCCTGTCTCAGGTACTTTGCAGTACGAGGTGGGCTGTTGCAAGCGTTTTTTATTCAAAACCCTGCGAGTTAAAGACTCCACAGAGGAAATCAAAACAACTCTATTGCATTACACTGCTCTGTGCCACCTCAGCTCGTTTGTGTCCAACAGAGCTGGAACATCTGTGTGGAAAGCGAACACCGGTGTCGGCGCTGCCCCAAGAGCCTCATCTCCACCACATTAACCTGCTTTAGCAAATCAAATCCAGGCACCATTTACTGTACTCTGGTTTTTCCTAAGAGACCAGATCAGCACCTAATCCCATTTATTTTTGCTCCTTCTGGCCACAAATGTCATTTCAGGTAAGAGCGCGCATCTCAGCAACGCGAGAGCACGAAGGAACAGCGTTTTTGGTCACTACCAAATCCCACGGCACTTGGTGAGGTCACATTTCCTTTCTCGCCTTCTTCCAGCTGGCTTGAGCAGTACAGAGAAACTGTAAGCAGGACAGAAGGTCAAAATGATGCCATTTGTACCACAGAGTGATGAGCAAAGACTGGGCCACGGGTTTTGGGAGTCAGACACCCACTCCTATGTAGTTTTACCTGGAACTGGAGGCAGCAGTGCTTTGTCTGCCATGCAGAAGCCACAGAAGGTCAGGTCTGTGGTGGGGCAGCAGTGCTAGAGGGGACCCTGACGGCTCAGGCACTCCCATCACCTGCACTCTGTCCTGCCCAGGCTCTTTACAGCAAAGCCTCCTCTGTGCATGGGCCATCTACTCAGCAGCGGTCCTGCATGCAATGCTCCAAACTGCATCCAAAGCCTTCCCAGCCTTGGATTTTCATTCAGGATCTGTCCTTGACTCTGTCAGGTGCTTAAGCACATGATTTGTCTGACGGACTTGTATGGTGCTCAAAAAATGTGCTTAACCATAATTTTGGCATGAGAGCTGTGCTGAACTGGGGCCATTTCGCAGGGAGGCTGCCTCTGAGACCATTGTCACGGTGCTTTAAAGTTGGAGATCGTGCAACTATTATCCTTTATTGCCCGTTTTATGCCAAAGTCTCTCTTTCTTTTTACATTCCTCTTAAAAGTAAAGCTATTTTGGAGCATTTAATATTATTTAATCTCTTTACTCTGGCAGCACAGAAATTACAGGACCATTACAATGGTCCTGTGTGAGTGTATGCTTTATTGATGTGTATGCTGACCTAATATCAAATTGATTTTACTCAGCTTTTCTGCTGACCATGGAAAAATGCAAATTGGGTATTATATTTGCACACTAATTTTATTGGGCCCCTGTGTCTTCATAAAAAGATAAAGTTTGGGCTAATAAAAATAAAACATTTCTGGGGCTAATATAGGCAAATGTTTATGTAGGCAGGTAACAAATTGGTTTGTCATTTAGAGGAACATAAAGAGCACTAAAATCATCTTTAGGCAAAATAGATTGGTGGCTTTTGCTTAGCT